TGGAAAGGAGGAAGGTGGGGAGTGAGGGAGAGAGGGAGGGAGGGAAGGAGGGAAAGATAGATAGATGAGAGAGAGAGAGAAAGAGAGAGAGATGTGAGAGAGACACACTGATTGGCTTTCTTCTGCATAATCCCCGACCAGGGCCTGGGATCAACCTGCAACCCAGGTACATGCCCTTGACCAGGAATTGAACCTGAAACCCTTTGGTCCGTGGGCCATCACTCTAACTTCTGAGCCAAACCGAATGTAAGATTTAAGAAAGACATTTTAAAAAAATGCTACATTATAGTTGTAGTATTTTTTTAAAAATGGGTAGAAAAAGGAAGGATAAAAAAGTAGTACTGTCTTGTTCACCTAACTACTCCGGGAACTATGTTCTTCCTGAGAGGAGTAGAATACAATGTACCAGCTGTGGCAATCTGAACACGCTTGTCCTGTTGAAAATTAAAGTTATTAGACATGACTAGAAATGAGAGTGTGTCCCCTCCCTCAGAGCATGCGTCGCCTGTGGTGCAGTTCTCACCATGGAACGGCTGTTTTCAAAAGGGAACAGAAGTGGGGAGGCATCTAAGCGCTTTAGATTTGCTCCCTTATTTAATTTCATCCCACCCTGGGAGGTAGGTAATGCTATCCAAAATCTAAAGATGAGAAACACGATCTCAGAGAAGTCATCTGTCTAACTGGTAAAGGGATAGCTGAAGTAACAACCTCAGTCTGATTAGCTGACAGGCGGTTAACAGGAAGAAAGACATTTGTTTTCCATTAATATAATCTGGGACACAGTAGATGCTCAGTGAATCTGAAATGAATGGGCAAATAAATCACATAATGCAGGATGACTTGCTGAGGCTGTCAGCAGAAAAAGATGGTGAGGCCAGGGACTAGTACAGGATGGCTTTGCCAAATGGTTAGGGCAACCAGTATTCTAAGCACTAGACTGAGAACTTCTTTAAGGAGAATGTTGTGTCTTTATTCCCATTGTGCCTAGAAAATGTTGGAATAAAACCATCTATTGTCTGGCATTTAATCCTAATGCAGAGAATTACAAAACTGTAATTGTAAATGAGACCATCTGGATTCAAACCAAATCAGTTTAAGTTTGTAACCTTTATAATTTATAATGTTATCTTTGACTTTTAAAAACAGAAAAGAAACCATCTAGCTTGTCTTGAAAAGCCCAGCCTGGCCACGACACATCTGTATAGAGCACACAGGGGCAGAGCCAGACTTCACACTAACAGCAAATACAACATGAAGGTCATAAAATTCTAGAGGTGAAGAGAAGAAAATAATGCTGAGTGAAAGGCCATTTTGTGACAGCCACTGTGGCTAAACAGATTGTATTAATGCTTTTCAGGGTTCTATCAGTTTACATTAAATCCAGAGTAGGTGCTTGACAATCACAGTGGTGGTTTCTTCATGTCTTATAATCCGAACACCCTGGTTGGCACCCACCACAGCACATCTGGAGTTTGTTAGACAATCTTTAGTTTTTATGTTTTTCATTGGTCCTGGTTCCTTCCTCTGATGCAGCCTTTTCAAGTGCTGCTTTGCCATGGATGAGTTAAGGAAACAAGTTACCTTGGTGTGTGTGTGTGTGTGTGTGTGTGTGTGTGTAAATAAATTTGGACCATCTTAGAGGGAGACCCCAAAATCTATAAATCCCCTGCTGCTTCACCTCTTTCTGACACTAGGAATCACACATGAATGCCAACCGCTCATCAGGCAGTACCGGGTCCATTTATTGGAAAAACTGGTCAATGCTGACTGCTTCCTTATTAGAAAATGGCAACTTAGATTGAGGCACATTCCAGCAATTAAAGTACTAGAAACTTTAAATTAAAACAACATTGCTTGGCCAGTGTGGCTCAGTGGGTTGAGCGTTATCCCATGGACTGAGAAGTCCTGGTACTATTCCTGGTCAGGGCACATCCTGTGTTTGGGGCTCAATTCCCAATATGGGGCATGCAGGAGGCAGCTGACCGATATCTGTCTACAAACAAACAATGATGTCATATCCTTCTTCCAAAAGAGGATATCCTTGTCCTAAAGTTAGTACCCGCACTTAGAGAAATTAAAGAATCAAAATGTATTTGGTAAGACCAGTTCCTTCTTGCTCACAGCATCTCAGACACATTTATAAAAATTAAATTTATTGGGGTGACATTGGTTAATAAAATTAAATAGGTTTCAAGTGTACAATTCTGATACATCATCAGTATATCACACTGTGTGCCCACCACCCAAAGTAAATCTTCCATCACCATATATTTGACCCCATTTACCTTTTTCTAGCCCCCCTCCTTCTAGTAAACACCATACTGTTGTTTATGTCTATGAGTTTTTATTTGTTTTTCTTAGTTCATTTGTTGCTTTTAGTATTATATCCCACATGAGTGAAATCATAGGGCTCTTGATGTTTTTTATTTTGCCCTTTATTGATTTTAGAGAGAGAGGAAGTGAGAGGGAGAGAGAAACATCAATGAGAGAGAACATTGACTGGCCGCCTCCTGCATGCTCCCCACTGGGGATTTGGCCCACAACCCGGGCATGTCCTAACCAGGAATCGAACTGGCAACTTCTTGGTGCATGGGTCGATGCTCAACCACTGAGCCACACGGGCCGGCCGACTCTTGATGTTTTGTCTGCTTATTTCACTTAGCATGATATTGTTGCAAATAAGGTGTGGTACATAAATACAACGAAATACTACTCAGTCATGAAAAAAGATGAAATACTCCCAGACACATTTTGAGGGGGCAGATATGTGAAACTTTACATGGAAGGGAGACAGAAAAACACTGTTAGGAAAGACTCCTAAGAACTACATTATCTTTCTCCATACACAGATGATATCACTACAGAATATTCAAGGCATGTAGTTAGATGTAAGATATTAGGAATTTTTCAGTGACTCCTTTCTAACATTATAAATTCTTGTATTAATTGATATCATTCACTTTTACCTATTTGAAAACATACAGTCTTGAGAGCCAAGTATTCAAAAGCTACTGTGAATGAGATACAGTATTCTAGTCTGCTAGACATTTTATTTACTTTGTGTCTTAAGGTGGAGGGACCGTGAACTAGTTTAATCATGGTCTGTATTTTCAGGCATAACTACTACTTAAGAGAACTGATATTGCTAAATATATATACTCACAACCTAGTGAAAGCCTTTCTCAACAATATCTTCCTATTTCATATTATCAGTTCCCCTCCCTTTATTGAGGTATAATTGATGAATATAAATTCTACATAGCTAAAGTGTACAATGTGGTATTTTAATATATGTATACATTGTGAAATGAATACCACAATGCAGCTAACTGACATTTTCATCACCTAACACAACTATTTTTATGTGAGTGAGTGTGTGTGTGTGGTGAGAACACTTCAGATCTACTCTCTTAGCAAATTTCAATATACAATACAGTATTATTAACTGAAGTCACCATGCTGTACATTAGATCTCCAAAACCTTTTCATTTGTGTAACTGAAACTCTGTACCCTTTGACCAGCATCTCCCCAGTTCCCCCCATCCCTTAGCCCATGGCAATCAGCATTCTACTAATATTATCAGCTTTGATAAACCAAATTTCAGTCTTGAACTACCAGAAAGATGCCTTTAATAATAAGCATATTCTTTCTGTTCTACTTAACAGGCATCCAAATATTAGACGATGGCCTCTTTTTGTGACAAATTATTGTATAGGACAATCAAAAAGTTTTCTGTCACATGTAAATGAGCAATGGGTTGTTTCTTCTGGTCGTCTGTCTATTCTATACCATAGAAAAGGGACACCTTTTGGTATTTTTTCAGCTAAATCAGCCACATAAACAAACATAAAGTAGATTTCTAAGCAGTTTTAATACTAGTCTACAGATAAAATATCTTTACTGTATATTGATTCTTGTTAATTTGAACATTAACTATTATGCCCCAAATGCTATCAAATGATAACTGATCACCCAAAATAGAAAAGAAATTCCTTCACCTGAAAACCTCTTTCTTAGTCTGATTACTTTAGGCAGAAAAGCAAATCTAGGCAGCCTAACTGCAAAGAAAATGTGACCAAAAAAGCTGGGAACTATATTGGAAGACAGGATTGTGGAAGACACTGCAAATCATACAGGAATGGCCAGTGAAGAGCATTAATGATACAGAAAGGGACTCAGATTTAAAAATTCAGCTTTCTCCTTAATTTCAAAGAAGAATTTTCTCCCCAGTTTAAAAATTATGGTAAATATATATATAACATAAAACTTACCATTTTACCCATTTTAAGTATACAACTTCTGTCCGTAAAGTATATTTACACCGTTGTGCAAACATCATCAAAGGACAAATTTTTAACTTTTATTTTCACAGATCAAGGCCTTACAGAAATATTAATCATTAAATCTGGGGAGGGTTTAGGTTGAAAAAGAAAAGGGGAAAACTTGGCTCTTACCTTTAGAGCTTACCTAGCCCTGAATAATTGAAAATCGTCTAAATAAAAATATACTTAGTGCCTGCTGTAGTTGGAATCTGTTTGGATATAAAAAATAAGCCTTTTCCATTTCTAATGGGCAGAATTTCACTAATTTCATCCAGTCATTGCATTAAGTTAAAAAACATTCTCATCGACTTGTGACAGTTTCTAAACCAAAAATACTCTGCATTTCCTAGACATAGCCAGGTGTGTGAAGATGACAATCTCTGCTTATAAAGATTAACTATGCAATCTGCAGTATATGTACAATGCAATATATAGATGATGTATCATAGGATTGTACATTTGAAACCTATTTAATTTTATTAACCAATGCCACCCTAATAAATTTTATTAAAAAAATAAAAAAAGACGTAACAGTCCTAAAAATAGAAAAATTAATGATATACAAAGATCAGATGTCTACTATGAAGCACAAGACCTTAACACACAAGCTGGCGAAGACATGGGTAGAGCATGGTGTGAGAGCTGGCCCCACTGCCCCTCCTGGCATTTAACTTTACCTGCTGCTTGAGCTGCTGCACCAGACGATCCTTCTCCCGCTTTAGTGCAGCCACTTCCTCTTGGGTCTTTTTCTTAGAGGATGAAAGCTCCAAAAGAGCTATATTGGCATCTTTTTCACTAATGGCAGCCAGGAGAGCTTCTTGCCTGCGAAAAAAAGAAAATGCCAAAATTTTAATTTAATCCTCACAACAATTCTTTGAAGTTACTATTATTGTTACCCCCATTTTATGGGTGATGAGACTAAGGCTTAGTGAGTTTATATAGCTTGCCCATGTTGCTCTTGAAGCAGCCAGGAATCTCATTTGGGTTTTTCTGACTCTGTCATTATCATGTTGTTATACTGACATTTCAATAAAGAGTTCCTAGACATAGTTAAACCTAAAAAGTAAATAGAGTTAATGATTTTTTAAAAAGAATAATCTTATCTATACACTTTACCCATTTAGCTCATTTTTTATAACAATCAGTAGCTTCCATGCAAAATAAGGCATTATACTGAAAACATTTTTTTTTTTTTTCTTTTTTTTATCCTCACCTGAGGACATTTTTCTATTTTTTGTTCAGGTAGAGTGGGAGGGAGGGAGAGGAACAGAGAGAGAGAGAGAGAAACATCGATATGAAAGGAACACATCGAGTGGCTGCCACCCACACGACCAACCAGGGCCGGGGAAAAACTGCAACCGAGGTACGTGCCCTTAGCGGGAACCAAACCCGGGTCTCTCCGGACCGCAGGCTGATGCTCTAACCGCTGAGGCAAACCGGTCAGGGCTGAAAACATTTTTTTAAGATCCTCACCAGTGGACATGTTTTAAGTGCTTTCTAGAGAGAGAGGAAGGAAGACAGGTGGAAGGAGGGAGAAAAAGAAGGAGAGGAAGTAGGGGAGAGAGAGAGAGAAGGAGGGAGGGAGGGAGAAATGGGGAGAGGGGAGAGAAAGAGAGAGAGGGAAACATCAATTGGTTGCCTCCCATATATGCCCTGACTGGAGGGGATGGAACCCGCTTCTACCGACTGAGCCACTCAGCCAGGGCTGAAAACATTTTTATGTATAGAGTGTGTAACAAATTGTAAATGTTAGTAAATAGGATTTAGAAAATCAGCCATCTGTTTCTAGGACATTTGGAACATCTATAATTCTTTTTATCCCTTTAATACAAATAACTTTCCAGTCATGGCTTTGTTTGCCAATGATCTGCACACCTTGAAACATAATTAAAACTTTACAGATTCCTTGTAGTTTATCTAAATACTTTTTGGTGAATATGCAGCAGGAAAAGAAGGTGGGATTTAGTAGGGGGTGAACATAAGACATTTACAAAAGAATCAGAATGAAATTGTGAGCAATTACTCTCATTGTCTAAAATGCATTCCCCAATAGCTCATCTTTTATGTAAGTCATCTGTAAGAAGACAGATTTGATTTACAGGAACTATATATGTGACCTGAGCGTTTGACACAAGACAATGCTGAATCTGAGAATGCACTGCCCCAGTTTAACTTGGCTTCCCTTATTGTTAAGATAACTAGGCTTCAACAGCAGTCATATGGAAAAGGTTTAGTTTAACCACAAACTAGAAGACTATCTTTTGAATATTCTGACAAGGATATTTTGAATTCTGGATGGGCAGGTCTGGGGAACTCTGGACAAGAAGTACTGACAAAGGGAGGATGCAGATTAGTTTACATTATGGAAATGAAAATTTGTTTGACTAGTCTTTGCTCTTGGAAGGAAAGAAGATCCTCAGTGACCTCAGTATAACTTTCCACTGTCCCCACACCCTATATAATTCTGAGATGTGGCAGATGGCTTATCCCATGAAGCTCTAGTCAGCACCAAAGAGATAATGATAGTCTAAATATACCCACTGACCACTTGAAAAAAAATGTTAAGTGGTAAAATGAGCTCAAAGGTGAAGGAGTTCAAGATGGTGTCACAATGCAGTTTCCTGTTGATTGCTATCATCTGTTCCTTTTTGGGAAGCTCCAAGACTGACAAAGCTGAAAAGAGAAATGTGCTTTCTCAATTGGGGTACTGCATTTCTGTGCCCTGCTTGACACATTAAGCAGCAGGCAAAGAAAAGATGAATGAAAGGTAAGATTGTTCTATTCAATTAGATCTAGTCATGAGCACCTCTGTTGAATGCAAGATACAAAGGTGATGGGATCTCAGTTTTATTCTATGCTTAAGAAAAGCATCATAATATGGAACAGCAAAAATTATTCTATATTGTTGAAGCTTCTTGACTGAATTCCAAATACTTTTATAAACAATATGCTTGGCCAGCAAGTGTGGTACAGTTAATCTCTGGGATAAAATGTCATATTCCCCAAATGCAATATAACAGGTGACAATTCAGATTTTAAAATTTAAAACATAGATGTGGCACTGGGCGCTGAGCCACTGGAATAATGTCTTTTTAGTAAGAGTATACTTTGAAGTCTTTTTTTGTTTTACACACAATTCAAATAGAAATTTTATGTCTACTTATCTTTTATTGAGCATTGATAATATGCTATGGATTGCGCAGAATCAAACTTTCTCTCTTATACCCATGACTCTCACCCTCTAAAAATCCCCTAATAGCCCTGGCTGGGTGACTCAGTTGGTTGGAGCAATATCCCCTACACTGAAAGGTTATGGGTTCAATTCCTAGTAAGGACACATACCTAGGTTGTGAGTTCAGTCCCCAGGTGAGGCATGTACAAAAAGCAACCAATCGATGTTCTTTCTCACATTGATGTTTGTTTCTCTTTCTCTCTCCCTTCTCCTCTCTCTGAAATCAATAAGCATATCCTCAGGTGAGGATTAAAAAACAATAATAAACAAACAAAAATAAAGATAAAACTAAAAATCCCCTAATAGAGGAACATACTATCCTTTTCATTTTATTATTTATTTATTATTATTATTTTAAAAATGTTTTCTTTATTGATTTTAGAGAGAGAGGAAGGGAGAGGGAGAGATAGAAACATTGATAACATCGATTGGTCTCCTCCTGCATGCTCCCCACTGGGGATTGAGCCCACAACCTGGGCATGTATCCTGACCTGGATTCGAATCGGTGACCTCTTGGTGCCTGGGTTGATGCTCAACCAGTAAGCCACACCAGCCAGGCTATCCTTTCCATTTTAAAAGTATACTCTTGACACTGATTTCTACATGTGTATGTGCCTAAAAAGGTCAATTTATAGTCAAGAGAATAAAATGTTTTGATTACATATTGTACTTACAATCATGTAAAGTCTGGGTGACATCAGTATTTTTTATAGGTATATTAGTTTTTAGTGTTTTTTTGTTTTGTTTTTTAGTTTTCTGGAAAGGGATAGAAATAGCATTGTTCTTGAAATGGGCACCATAGGAGAGAACAAACTTAAAATTTCTGAAAGTTAGGCAAGAATATAAAAGCTAATAAACAGTAATACCATTTAACTTTTGGGGAATAAAAAAAATTGTCGTTCCTTTAATATATCTGAGAGAAAATACCATATGGAATAGTTGACCTTACGTAGTTAAGTTTTAAAGACAGCACTCAAAAGTGTCTAAACTAGAAAACTTTATTAAGAACAGATGGAATGGAATTCAGAATGAAAAAAGCAAATTGCAAAAGAATCTTATTTTAGTAGCTACCTACTCAGTGTAATTGCTTCTTTGAAAAGAGATATTTTCTGATAAAATTAATATGCATTCATTGAAGAAAAACTGAAAGATACAGAAAGCTGTAAAAAAGAAAACAAAAATATCAGAAATAGTTCTTTTTTAAATCAAAGTCAATTGCTTGAGATCTGGAATTCACTTATTCTAATTCTGATATGGTTTGAAGAAAATGAACCTTGATTGGGATTAATAATTGACTTTAAAAGGTTTACCAACTAAAGGCTATCCATAGAAAAGGAAGACTGGCTAGTGGAGCACATTCTGACTTCATTTCCCATGAGCCCCTAGGGAAGAATATAAGCAAATAAAATATATGGATGCCACAAACCCGCAGCAAAATAAAAACTGCAGTGCTTCTCCTGCCAAATTACTCTCCTTGTTCTGTGTCTTTTCCTCAGTTAAGAAAAATGGAAAATGTGGACATAGAACCTTTCAAAGTGATTAGAAATCCCCCACTGCATGACTAACATGCCGTATTACCTGCATAATCAGTAGGTAGTAGCTGAAATACAACTTTAAGTCATTAAAGTGGTCTATTCACTCTATCCCTGGTGCTTTAAACTACCAGAAGAGTTGAACCTGCCCTTTGACCTGCAAATTCTAATAGAATCAAGATGTCTCTAAAAGTATTCTGCTATGGAATTTGAGCTTCAAGAAATAGTAAGACCACCTCCTCTGTCCCTTTCCCAAATTTCAGAAACAGGAGGCAAAAATCCAAGGCAAATGAAGCTCAAAATCCTTTTGATAACTCCTGAATCCTTGAGAACAACACATTAACTTTCTTTCACTAGTCAATAAGAAACATAACCCTGTCCAGTTGGCTCAGCGGTTAAAGCATCTGATGCCTGCGGTCTGGAGAGACCTGGGTTCGGTTCCTGCTAAGGGCACGTACCTCGGTTGCAGTTTGTCCCTGGCCCTGGCTGGGTCGTGCAGGTGGCAACTCAATGTGTGCCTTTCACTTCGATGTTTCTCTCTCTCTTTCTCTCTCTCCCCCTCCCACTCCATCTGAACAAAAAATGGAAAAATGTCCTTGGGTGAGGATTAAAAAAAAGAAATATAGTCAATGTTGGAATGATGGTGTGTGTGTGTGTGAAATGTGAGACACAAAAGAAGTATGAATGAAGAGATATTACCAGTGTTTATTTTTCCCTCTTCCTCCAGCTGGGTATTTCAAATTGAATGATTTATTATCATGATTCATAATCCTGAAAACATCAGGAAAGAGATCAGATCAAAGCAAGAATGAGATCAGTAGCTTTCCACGTATTATTTATGGTCATGGACATGTACTCATAGTTTACTCTAATTTTAAGATAAATTTAAAATCTAGATTCTTTAAAAAATTAAATTTATTGGGATAACATTGGTTAATAAAATGATATAAATTTCAGGTGTATCACTTTATAATACGATATCTGTGTATACTCTACTGTGTGCTAACCACCTGAAGCCTGGTGCCCTTCGGTCACCATAGGTTTGACCCCTTTTACCT